TTAATCAAATTCACTACACGCTATAAAACATACAAGTGATATCACATTGAGCTATATTTCTAGTAATATAAGGCAACAAAAATTTAACTATCTTCTTATTAATATTATAAATGCTAAAGTTGAAATACATGGAGCAATGATGGATGGATGTTTGTTAAAGGTATCTTCATAACGGCTGCATGGATCTTGCAGAAATTTGGCATATATGTAAAACATACTCTGGAAGAACATATAAGCTACATCATTTTTTTTTCAACACAGAGAGTCTCAAGTGAGTCTCAGTGACAACGGTGAGTTACGGTCGACAGCTAATTTAATAATAAATCACCACTCAGGTACTGTAGATGCAATTACAAGGAAAAAAAACTTTGATAGAGTTTCTCAAGACCTAGAACAGGGGTGGCCAACTTGTGCGATGTATCAATTACAAACTTGTTGAAATCAAATTAATCGGCATAATTCAGTACTAAATAACTATATTTTATAAAAATAGAAATTATTATATATAAATAAATATTGATAGCTAGTAGCTATTTATAATAGTATAAGCATTGCGTCTGAGCATCATACGTTACGTTATATTCGTATTATTATTAACAAAACTCATAGTCTCATAGTCGCTATCGATCGGTTGACAACTCCTGCCCTGTAGACAATTGTATGTTTCATTTTGGTTGAAACATTTTGGCGTTTAATATTGCATTGTAAAAAAAACAAACGTGTAATACTTGAGAATTTAATACATAACAAAAAATATTATAATTAAATTGAGAATATTTAATGAACGTCGCTATTGTATAACTAAGTAAACATCCAGGTACAAGTAAGCTGAAGTAAACAGAAAACATCGTATTTCAAAACAATTCCAGGATCATCCGTAGAACGGAAATGGCGGAGGAGGCGGTGGGCCGAAGAAGGGTGGCGGAGGGGGGCCAAAGAACGGTGGGGGAGGTGGTCGGTAAAAGCCTCCCCCCCACCCGAAGCCGCCCACTACCACAGGAGGTCCTCCCCAACCACCTATCCAATGAGATTGTGCTAACTGGAAAGCGGAAAAGAGGAAAATTATTAACAACATTTTTCACTTTTACGTCACAAAGGATTTTCTTTTGCTTTTAGAAAAGTATATAAAATCAAATCTGATATCTAGCCCATTGGTCAGAAAATGATCAAACAACATTTAGTTGTACTTAAAATGTACATAAGACATAAGTATTATACATAGTAAAAACTTATATAATCCTTTATTATCTATAACTATAAACATTCCCAACTAAGTTAATTTATATGCACAGTTGTGTAGTAAAATTATAACTTAATATCAAGTTATATTTCATCAGTAAAAGCACAAAGGGTTAACTTAATTAAAATTAAACCTATGGGGATGAGCCGTCAGGGATATCTGTTCTATGTAACTACAAGTACAAAGCTTTAGCACAGAATGTAATATTACGTTCAAGTTACTGTCAGCTAATCCTATCTCTATCATTTATTAGAGTTTCCAAAACTGGCAAGTGGTGTTACTGCTATCAATACAATCTACACTAAAATGGCGAAAATTATATAGGCACAAAATACCACTACTCCAACCCCTCACAATATAAATCGACTAATCGATAAAATATTTTACTAAATAAAAATAAAAAAAAATTGTAAACTTCAGTAAATAAATACTATAATATAAATAAGAATATTAATATAAAATTCTAAAATAATTTGTAACATTCATAATGTATTGTAATAAAACTAATTTAACTTACAGGTAATAAAACACAGAACAGCGACATAAAAATTCCCGAACGAATAGAATCCATATTGATATAAATCTTAATAAAAACCCAACAAGGCTTAGCCGCGACAACTGTGCTGTCACTCCTCGTGTCTTTATATAAATGATGTTATATATGTCTTTTATTAGCAAATATTACATCAACATATACATACTCGTATATAGCTTCTACAAGATATATACTAGATTGACTATTATTTTTAAGTTTTTAAATAAAATTCCATATCTTAATATAATAGTTTAATTAAATATCTTGGCAACATAAGAGCTAAGTCAATACTATCTTAATATTCGTTAAGTTGAAGTAAAATATAAAAAAAATATGTAAACATATATACAAAGACATTATTAGTTTTTACATTTTCATTAATTTACGTTAATCGCTTATTAAAAATGCGATTTTCAACATAAACTCCGTTCAGTTTTGCCTGTAGAGGGTCAATATCATATGTACACTCTTCTATACATCAGCTGTATAAGAATTTACTACTTTGTACACTAGCTCTCGTCCGCTACTGCGTCTGCGTGGAACCATAAAAATATAGATTAGTAATGTGTTATTCCAGTCTATGTTCTACATCTATGCCAAATTTCAGCGAGTACCATGCCGTACTAGAAATACCTTCTAACAAACATCCATCTATCCAAACATTCACATTTCTAATATTAGTAAGATATTTGTTCCGTAAACGTATGAATAATTTATTCGGCCTTAAACGCAATTATCGATGGTCTTAGACGAAATTTTCCAATAAACTCTAAAAGTATTAATAAAATTTTCTTTGTTGAATTAATTTATAACCCATTTATATTAAAATCATGTCTCGTATTCCAAACAATGCTAGAATACTCTATGTATGAATATGTTCTATGAGAAACACCAATATAAGTATTGATCGTGCAAATACTTAGCGTGTGAAGTCTAATTAAACGTTGTGGAAAACATCAAGTTCCTTCAACGGTTATTCCCCGTCCGTGGAAATTCTTACGCGAGTAAATAATGTAATAAATATAAAATTTACAACATATGTAATCATTCAAATCACCTGGTAGTTTACTGATCTGAATTTTTAATAATCTTACTAAAATAAATGCGCATGTTTGGCCAGACAGATGATTATTATAAGGTACGGTACGGTACTTCAGAACGGCTCAACGGATCTTGATGAAATTTGGAATAGATGTAGGACATAGTCTGAAAAATCACATCATCAACCTTATCCCTATCGAGGGTCGGCACAGTATGTACGATAGTATGTAGTATGTATGTATAGTCTGAAAGAACACATAAGCTACTTATTAAGTGTCTTTAATTCCACGCTAAGAGATTTACAGGCGACAGCTCGAAGCACATAAAAGGAAGAAAATAGAAAATTTAAACTTAGTTACATACTGTCGCTCTGTTAATTTTTCTTAATACATAAGTCATACTAACAGTACTGAATTAGTTCTTAATATCGTAAGTTCCAATGCCCTACATGAGTAAGTAGGTTACTCTAGCTAATGTAATCCGAGAACACCCCGGGGTGTCGCTTCATCGACCCGCCATTGCACTGCTGCAGCTGCGCTCTCGTTCACCAATATCTTTCTACACTTTATTACTATCTAGAAAATTTTATTTATTTATTTATTTACATGGAAAACTTACAGCTATAATAATCTTATTAACTATAGACTAGACAACTGAGAGCCAATGACAAGTCTTCACTTATAACAATATTATATCTATAATGAGCAAACAAACAAGTATCGCTAGTATTAAACTATAGTAATATATAACAATGTAGTTAAAAACTAAATTATAGTAGAACATTAATATTAGTAGTAGCAGTTCACGTATATATTTTATTTGAAAAAGTCTAGTGCTAGGCACCTTCGTGCCGAGGATACACTCATAATAAATGGATCGAAATCATATTTGTTGCAGATTTTGTTAAAATTTCCAATTGCACGCACAATAAAACTGTTTTGTCTATAATTAGAAGAAGCTTTAGGCAACAGCAAAGGTGGTATGGAACGAATTGATTTACATGGAACGTTTATATATAATTTGGACAATAATTCGGGACAATCTATTTCATTATTAAAAATTTTTTGTAAGAAAATATAATCAGCTATCTCACGTCGAATGAAAAGTGGCAACAGATGATATTTGCGACAAAGTTCAAGGTAATTCTCGGAATGATAAGGGATTCTCTGATGGAAACAAAGGTACTTAATAAAACGTTTTTGGATGTTTTCAATACGATCAATATAACTGAGGTAACGCGGATTCCAAACTTGAGAAACATATTCTAAAAGGCTTCGTACAAACGTACAATATAGGATTTTAAGGGTTTTGGCTTCGGTAAAACATTTGGAAATACGCATTATGAACCCAAGTGCTTTAGACGCTTTTTTAACTATATTATCTACGTGAACATCAAAAAGCAACTTACTATCGTGATGAACACCTAAGTCGCGCATCGAAATACATCTAGGTAACAGTTGTCCACGCAGATAATAGGATGTGGCCAGAGCAGTACGTTTTCGAGTGAATGTGACTACTGAGCACTTAGAGACGTTGAGGTCTAATTTATTGACACGGCAGTACTCTTCAAGTCGCGATAGGTCAGCCTGAAGTACCGCCATATCGTCTAGCGACGATATAGTGTTGAAAATTTTCATATCATCAGCAAAGCAGAGTAGATTAGAAGATTTTAGGCAAAAGGAGATGTCATTAACATATATTATAAATAACAGGGGACCGATCAGGGAGCCTTGCGGAACGCCGCTAGGGACATGGACCCAGCTGGACATGTAATTATTAAGAACAACAGCCTGCGTTCTATTTTCGATATAAGACGAAAACCATCTGAGTAGATCTCCGTGTATACCAATGCTGTTTAACTTAAGCAATAGGATTTTATGGTCTATTCGGTCAAATGCCTTGCTATAGTCAGTGTAGATAACGTCAACCTGTTGGCCATCATCCATAGCAGATGTAATGAAATCATTGAATAAAATTAAATTAGTTGTAGTTGATCGGCCTTTTAGGAAACCATGTTGAAAGGGACTAAGCGAACTAGCAAGAATGGGATATAACTGATTGTAGACTATTCTTTCAAATACTTTGGCTAATATACATAATTTTGATATAGGTCTATAATTAGTAATTTCCGTTTTAGATCCTTTTTTGTGAACAGGCGTAACAAAGGCTGACTTCCAAATCTTGGGAACTACACCTAAGGACAAAGATTTCTCAAATAACATGGAGATAGGAATAGACAGAGATGATGCACATCTTATTAATAGTTGTGCAGATATGTTGTCCGGGCCGGCAGATTTCGAAGTATCGAGTTTACGGAGTTGATTAGACACCTCTTCAATTTTAACTTCAACAGAGCAGATGTCTGCTGCAGAGTTAGATGGAGGTAATACAAACGGAGGATTCGAGTTGCAGTTACTACCGACAGTAGGATCAAGAAAGGTAGAATAAAAGTAAGAGGAAAATGCTTCACAAATAGTTTCGCCTGAGTAAAGGTGTACGTTGTTGTACTCAAGCGTACTAGGAATAGAATTAGAATTATGGCGGTTTTTAACAAATGTCCAAAAGTGTTTCGGATTAGCTTTTATTGAATCCTCTGTCCGGCTTAGGTAAAGATTGTAGCACTCCCTTTCCAAAAGCTTTACTCTGTTACGTAACAATTTGTAGGTCTGCTCGTCGGATTTATTGCCGTATTTCTTGAATTTCTTGAAATATTTATATTTTTGCCTAATAGATTTAATAAGTGATACATTGTACCATGCCGGATATGAATTTTTTCTTATACTTTTATGTGGAATGAATTTATCTTGGAGTTCAATAATTTTCTGATTGAAGTATTCGACAGACGCATCCATGGATCGTAATGAGAATTCGTGTTTCCAATCAACTGCCGAAATTTCGTCATTAAGTAATTGAAAGTCGCCTTTGTGGTAGAAATAACGAACGCGCGGTGCACTGTCTAAGTTGGGTATAACAAAAAAGTCAAAATTAATTATGAGTGCCGGATGGTAGAGGTCAATCGGAACTAAAGCGTCGCTGCACTCCAATACAGTTATTTGACTATTAGATAGGGCCAAATCAAGAGTCTTGCCATAACTATTAAGAACACCATTATACTGTCCGAGGCCTAGCACGCACAGCTCATCAGCCAGTAAGTATTCGTCATTAGTAGCTAGGTGGTCCGGAGCGAATGATTGACCTTCACATGGAACCCAGGAGATGCCACTCATGTTAAAGTCGCCAATGACTAGAAATAGATCGTCGGGGTTACTTAACATGGTATTATTGAGTTGAGAGAGGAAGTTATTTAATTGTGTAGAAAATGATAGGCCGCTATTTTGTTTACAAAGATAAATAACACATATATAAAGATTTACAAGATTACGAGAGTTGTACTTTTTAATGTGTAATTTGAGCCAAAGGTCCTCCGCTGTCGAGTGAAAAAGCGGCTGCGAGGAAGCCTGTAATTCTCTACGCACTGCGATCAGTACACCACCACCTCGCGATTGGCCAGTGGAATCGTAATTCCGATCGCGGCGCCAAACTATGTACCGGTCGTCAAACAACTCCGAATCGAAAATACCATCCGTTAGCCAAGTTTCAGTTAACAGAACAATATCGTAGGAATTGATTAAAATCTGACGGTAAAAAACTTCAGTTTTAGTTCGTAACCCACGAACGTTTTGGTAATATATGGACAGCTGACGATTGCGAACATTAGCCATAGCACATAACTACAACGTTTGTATATGCGACCGATAAGGTTAAAGTAAACCAATTTGATTCGAGATTAACATGTACAATATTAATGTATTTAACAAACAGTATGAAATGAAGGTAGTGGGACCGGTTGAGGTCTATTAAAAACGAATAGTTAAAAACAATTGCGTGAAGAGGCAAGCAATAGAACGCTGGGTACGCAAGTGCAAGTGAGAAAAGTATATTTTTATTAGTTAACGTTGTTGTGTGAACAGTGCGATATCGAATACAAAAGTTTATTATGCGAGAACAAAAGGAAGGTGTCTCATTAGTTAACGAGCCAGGGGTGCAAAACCTTTT